TCACATGAAAAGATATAATAAAATATTTACAAAAATGTGAGGGGTGTACTCACTTCTGAGATACTGTATATATACTGTTTTTTGTTTTGTTTTCCAAAGCACCTAAAAGCCAATTCACACCGCCATACTCCAACGGGGTGAACACACAGTCCAGACAAAACAAAATAAGCATGTTTTTTTAAATAGCTTTTGTGGCAGTGTGAACTGACCATAATGCTGTATGTTAGGTGTGAGATTCATTAAACTTGGTTTGCTATAATACATCTATTCATAAGTGCACCAGTGTGAAGCACAATTCCCTGCACATTTGCTGTATATCCATAAAGTGATATCTTTGTCATAGTATTCTTTCAGTGGTTAACTAACTGATTAAGCCAGTCTCTGGCTGTCACCTACTGGCATAACAATGTAACCTGCAATGAAAGAAGCCCAGGCATGATATTGCTTTTTTTTTTTTAATGGTGAATTGCCCAAAAAAAAATTTTGCATATGATTTTTAATTAAATATTTGAAGTGGGTTGGTTAAGGGCGTGATTAGCTGATGTATTATTATGGGAGCGTGTGATAAGTTGATGAATTGTGTGCATGTTTAATGATGGCTCTTAAATATTTAAATGCAGTGTGTTGAATGCCTACTAAGACTTGCATATTATGCATAATGTTTTGACCATGGATGCTTACAGAAGGATAATCTTTTATATATGTGCCAGAAACATCATGAGCATTCATAATTTTTGTTGGTTCATGCTGAACTGGTGTTGATAAATGTACTCTTTTTATTAATAAGTCAATTCAATTGATATTGTCACTGTTTTTAGGTTGCATTGTCTGGAGATTTTTACATTTTTCCAGTGTCCAATTTCTGTTTGATTTATTATGAAAGGGCAAATTATAATCTATATAAAATGAAAACATTTACATATATGTAGATTTAATGTATAAGGAGCATTAATTGAACATTTGAATGTTTTAAAATATATTTACATTTATAGAAATCTAATATATTTACATATACATAAATGTAATATGTTAACAAATCTTAGAAATTAATATATGGACATATATTGCAAATGAACATATTTACATAGTCTGATATCTAAATGTATTTACATATAAAAGGAAATAAATATATGTAAATATTTCCGAAAAAAATATATTTACTGTGAAAAATATTAAAAAGCGGCCAAAATCAAATATTTAAATATATTTTTAAAATATATTTCAAAATATATTTACATATATTGTATCAAATATATTTTATTCTATTTAAATTTAAGATATTTAAATATTTGAAAATATATTTATTATTAATATTTCAATCTATGTGACTTCTGTATGGGTGCTAGTCGAATATTTTTTGAATGCTATCTATCTATCTATCTATCTATCTTTTATTTTGAGGATTTCTTGTGCCACTTTTATTTTGAAAACCACTGGATCTGATGCTAGTTTTCATAACCGTCTTCAATTTTGAAAACATGACAACAACGAAACGCTTCACGTTAACTACCGACTCTTGCGCTGCTCTTGTTTAGCCAATGTTTGCCTTCAAGCGAAACAAATCGCCTTGTAAATAGCCGAGTTTAACGCTTTATCGACGAACTGAACAAACAGAATCTTTAAGGATGCCCAAAAATGGTTAAAGTCAAGTCTTTCTTCCGGTTCGCTTCCGGTTTCCACGTCTTGCGTTTGGCATAAGCACGTTTACAGCTGCAGTTATTTCTGCTCAAATTCACACACCTTCTGGAATCTTCTGAAAGGTTAACCGATCATGTAGTTACTTAGTCAATCGGTTAATATAATAGTCGTCTTTTATTTCAAACAGACGCTAACATTGAGGTAATACCCCTGCACTCGTCTAGTGTAAATATGCCGTGTTGGAGACTTTGATAATGGAGCGAGATTTACTCAGACAATCCGTGTCGTATCACGGTGAAAACCTGTTGTTATTGTTAAAATGCGAGCAAAGTGAGAACCCAGACTTCAAACGTGTGGCTGCTGATCTCTCCAAAACTCTGAATCAAAGGTAAGCGGCGTTTTTATAGTTCTTGCATGATTATTTTTTATCTCGTGTCATGTTTTTTTGTGTTGAGAGACCCCGGGACCTTTCACACAGCCCATAAAATATACTTTAGGAATAGTTAATCTTTTTAAAATTAATTGTATTAATTACTCACCTGCATGTAGGGATATGCCGGTATCAAATTTTCATGTTGCGATTAATTGCTTATGCTTTTATCACGGTATGCGGTATTATCACGATATTGAAATTTAGTTTTAAAAAAAGTGCTGTCATAATACAGTATAACAGGTTTAATAACATTTTTCTTATAACAAAAATAACTGAACATTTAGTTAATCTTTTTAAAATTAATTGTATTAATTACTCACCTGCATGTCAGTCATTACAAACATGTATGACTTTCTTCTGTGGAACACAAATTGAGATATTTGAAATAATGTCTGTGCTGCTCTTTTCCATACGGGTACTTCTCAGCATTGGGAGCTTATTTCTCGCACTTCTCAGTTTATATCTAAAGTTTATATGAGAATTGCAAGAAAAAGGTGTGCTTCTATAGAGCCTACTGATACACCATATTCCAAAAATCTTCTGAAGTCATGCATTTTTTTTTTTTCTCCATTCATTTTCATAATTTATTGACTGTAAATGAGTAATGTGTGATTGGTTTGAAACAGGGATAAAGAAGAGGGGAGTCCTGTTCTGGAGCAGTTCATAGCAAGGAAAGCGGATCTGCTGTTTGCTCCGTCATGGAAAACATCTACACCAGCAGATGAAAGGCTGGAGGAATCTGGAGGTTAACCGTCTCAATCATTTCGAATTAAATTTAGTATTTTATTCCTATTATAGCAATCGTTCACTCAAAAAGATGTATTCGTCTTCATGCATCTCCAAACCCATTTTTTTGAAGAATATCCTGTTGGCATGAATGGGTTAGTTGTATTGGATGGATGTGCGGATGATTGCGCGATGAGCGTGCGTATTGTTTCAGAGGCGCACGCCGTCATGCCTCCGCTGGAGCAGTTCATGGAGGTGTGTTTTGAGGAGAGACGGGAGCTCTTCTACAGGGACGTGGAGCGTGGAGACGTGGTTATCGGAAAGATAAATTCTGTGCGAGACTTCGGCTTATTCGTAACTCTTCTCTGCACTGCTGGAGGACTGGAACGAGATATTGATTCTGTTATATATATATTTGAACAGAATTGTGTGTGTATGTATCTATGTATGTATGTATGTATGTGTGTATGTATATATATATAATGTATGTGACCCTGGACCATGAAACCAGTCATAAGGGTCAATTTTTTGAATCTGAAAGCTGAATAAATACGCTTTCCAGTGATATATGGTTTGTTAGGATAGGACAATATTTGTCTGAGATACAACTATTTGAAAATCTGGAATCTGAGGGTGAAAAAAAATCAAAACATTGAGAAAATCGCCTTTAAAGTTGTCCAAATTAAGTTCTTAACAATGCATATTACTAATCAAACATTAAGTTTTGATACATTTATGGTAGGACATTTACAAAATATCTAAATGGAACATATTTACTTAATATCCTAATTATTTTTGGCATAAAAGAAAAATCGATAATTTTGACCCATACAATGTACTTTTGGCTATTGCTACAAATATACCCCAGCGACTTAAGACTGCTTTTGTGCTCCAGGGTCACATATTGTATATATTATATATATATATATATATATCAGTGTTTCCCCTGTCATTATATTAGGGGGGGCGCCAAGTTGGTTTAACTTGAGGGCATTGGCAGAAATATATTACTATTGTTGACATCCCATTTTGTTGACTGCATCAAATTAAATTTACAGAAGTTATTTTACATAAACAGAAAGCATATTAAATGAAAGTCTTTCAATAACTTGTGAGTATATGTCAAAATATAGAAATAGTATAGAAATAATATAGAAATAAATTGTTCTAACATGATTCAATGTAACAGATATATTTATTTGAAAATGAAACGGCAGACTTATTTTGACCTTTACTTATTAAAACGTATGAAAGTATAAGTGATCGTACTAAATTGTATTATATTTTATATTAAATGATTAAAAACTGCACTGTGATCCTTCAATAGAGTATTTCAGTGTCATCTAATGATTCTTCATCTAAGTATACCTGAAAAGATGTATTGTTATATGAACTATTATTACACTTAATGAAATTAATAAATAAATACAATTATTTCATATTAATTATAATTCTAATACAATTATTTTTTTGCTCAGGAAAAAAATAAATACATTTAAAAAATAATAATAAACAGGACACATACTAATGCACAGGAAAAAAAAAAAAGCTATATTACACTTTTATTGTTTGGTTGGTTGAAAGCCCCTTTCATCTTTTACCTGTATAATTATTATATTTATAAATAATTAAATCATTATAAATATTTATTTATTTTTGTTCATTTCTTCATTCATTCATCAATAGTTAATGATATTTTTACAAATGCGTTTGACCTTGAGAAGTACATTTTAAAACTTTTTTTTTTAAAATAACGATTAAGATGATGGTAAGCAAAATGTATTGATTTCTACTTGAGCCATTCAACTGAAACTTGGTTAAAAATGGTGTTAAAATCTTTCAAAACCAACTTAACTACTTGGAGTTCTTTTTTTTTTCTTGAAATGTTAAACTAGATTTTTAAAATCAATTCAGTTGCAGCTCGTCAGTCAAATGTGATTCTAAAAATAAATGTTGTCTATTAAAAGGCCCTCTGTCCATTAAGATGTGTTCCTTCAACTGGAAATCACGATGATCCTTTGTCTTATTACCAAATTGGGGATTTGCTTCGAGGTATGACACTTTTTTTGGCTCTTTTTAGAAAAGAGTTCTTTTTTTTTTCTAGAAATGTTAAACTAGATTTTTTCAATCAATTCAGTTGCAGCTTGTCAGTCAAATGTGATTCTAAAAATAAATGTTGTCTATTAAAAGGCCCTCTGTCCATTAAGATGTGTTCCTTCAACTGGAAATCACGATGATCCTTTGTCTTATTACCAAATTGGGGATTTGCTTCGAGGTATGACACTTTTGGCTCTTTTTAGAAATGAATGTCTATATATTAATAGTAAAATGATTAGATTTGCTAAAGTGGTATTTTGTGCCACAGCTGGGGTGAAGGGCATTGACCGCTACCACGAGAAGCTGACACTATCACTGTATTCATCCTCACTGCCTCCTCACGTGGATAAAGTTAAGCTGGGTGTCATAAGCAAAGAAGATCTTCCTCTTCATTATACGTACGTAAACGCAGTAAAATGAATATTGACCCGTTTGTCTCAGGCTTCCTGTTGTTGATGGTTTCCTCCGCTCTTCCAGCCGAGGTGAAAAGGTGACCACAGACAGCAGCCAGACGTATGAGAAGCTTTTGGAGAGCTCTCTTGGTTTGTCCAACCCTTTAAATGTGGACTACCTCCTGGGAAAGCTGGGAATAAGCGACACACAAACGCCTTCACTCATGAGGGGCTTGCAGAGGTACACGCCGTCTTTGGCTTTTACATCATTCGCAGTTTACTTGGTGTTAAACTTTTTTTTGTATATACACAGTAAACACTTCAAAGAAGATGATTTTGCAACAGCTATTCGGAAGAAACAGTCCGTGTCCTGGGCCCTGAAATGGTTTGTTTACCTTTTCCTCATATTCCATGAAATTAACATCTTTTTATTAGTTAAAAAATACATTACAATGTTTTTAAATATTATGTTTTTATTTTTAAATTGCATGAATGCTAAATTGTCAGGAGGATAAATATTTAAATAACAATTTTATTCATTTGAACGATTAAGAGATGTGCACTCTATGAAACTATTTTAGAAAAATATATTACGTTTTACTTTATGGTTACACCACAACTTTTTTTTTTTTTTTTTTTTTTTAGAGTTTTTCCATCAAAACCAAAAATCTTGGTTTATCTTGAATATCTTAAATTTTAGTTTGCGTTTTTTTTTTTTTTTTGGTGGGGTGGGTAGTTTAGGTTTGTTTAATAACCAGATCTAAGCAATATTGCATTTAAAGTTTCTTGAAAGTGCTGTAATAATAAATAAAAAAAACCCAAAACAAACATGAGTACGAGGTGTACATTTATACACATTTTTAAAAGGCTCCGTTTCTTTTTTTGTGGAAGCTCTAATTTGTTTAATGCATATTCTGCTAAATATATGCTAAATAACGCTAAAATACAAACTGTCATAAACTAGTGCTATTATTAGCTACAGTGTTGGAGAAAGTTATTTTTTAAAAGTAATGCATTACAATATTGCATTACTCCATAAAAAAGTAACCAATTGTGTTGCTTAGTTACGGAACGTAATGCATTACATTTCTTTTGCATTACTTTTTTGTCACCTGGGCTTGCTTATTCGTTTTTTAATAACAAAAAACCCAAAAGTTATATTTTTGGCAACTGTGTAAGAGCCCTTTCACACCAAAAATGAGATTAATAAGCCGCAGGCTGAACAGGTGTTCCACACACTGGACAGGTGTGCTGTCAGTGAATCAATATTTGAAAAATAGTTCAGATATTTTCTTGTAAATTTAAAAGTAATGCGTTTGTTGTAGCCATTTAAGAAAATGTATTTTTGTTTTATATTTATGTTAAAATAGTATTTGTTCATGTTTTGTTTCGGTTTAATTTGTTAATTATGAAAGAAAATTGTGTGATTAGTAAACGTCATAAAGGCCGTGGTAATAAATAATTATTATTTTATTTTTTACGATTTATTTTTGTCGTTTTTATGCCTTTTATTTAGATAGGACAGTAGGTCGACAGGAAGCGAAGGGAATTTTAATCGATGTTTTGTTGATCAATCATCGAATCAAATAAATAAGAGCAAGGATAAAAAGCTTTGTGGAATGAAGTGCATAACGAAATGCAAACCCACGATCATGCTTCTGCGGCCTTAAGAAAAGGCCAAAACGGCGTTACTTTAAAAAAGTAATCTGATTACGTAGTAGTGTTGTCAAAAGACCCGGTACTTCGGTACCAAGTCGGTACTAAAAAAATGAAAACGTTACGGTACCAGGTTTTTTTAAGTACCAGTGGCTTATTTGTGGCGGACCGCCACAGTATCAAAACTGACCGCCACAAATAGATTTTCCAAAAGGCTTTGACTTCGTTGAATAAACATGAGCACTGCACGTGTCAAAGTCGAAACCCGGTGCGGGTGTTTTTATATCACTGTATTTCTGAAGGAAACCGACTGTCTTCAGAAAATGATGGATGTCATTCTCATTTCATCTTGCCTGTAATGCCTGATAAAGCAGGGTTTGTGAGTGCTGCTTTGTGTACAGCCGTTACCGGGGAAACCTGATCTTTCCCGCTTTACAAGCGCCTCCTGCTGGCAAAGAATGAATTTGCATATATATGCCGCCACAGTTAGAGTGCAAGTCTGCGGGAAACACTGCTTCTGTTATGAATATTACTCAAAAAAAACAGGAGGACATGATGATATTTACTATTTTTACACACCAGAGGCTTTTAAATGAATTGTGAATCTAAAATATGCGTGTTAGAGAACGTACAAATGGTTAACATTGTTTGTCATATCAGTCAGAAAAGCAGGTCTGGGCTTTTTTATTTGAGCTAACTTTGTTGTTATTCTTGGCTGAATAACTCTAGGTTTTCAAAAGCCCTTAAAAATTAAATATGTACACAGTTTGGATTAAATGAGAGTATAGTCAAATTTTTTAATTAGCATGTTTTTGTGTTTTGCTTTGGTACCGAGAACCGTGGATTTTCACTGGTATTGGTACCGAATACTGAAATTTTGGTACCGTGACAACACTATTACGTAGCTTACATTACTTGTAATGCGTTACCCCCGACACTGATAATCTAGTTGTGACAGTGTCATTTCTTCTTATCATTACAGTGTTAAAGCTGGCGTTGGCCATTTCAAATCGAGGCGTTATGTAGAAGCAATGAATGAGTACAACAAGGCCTTAGAGATCGACACAAACAACGTGGAAGCTCTTGTGGCACGTGGAGCTCTGTGAGTCACGATAAAACCATGTTCATGTGAAGAGACATATTTGCATGTTTATTGTTGTACTTTTACATATTTACTGAGTCTTGTTTTATTTGATTGTAGATATGCAACCAAAGGAAGCTTGATGAAAGCTATTGATGACTTTGAACTGGCCTTGGAGAACTGCCCCACGCACAGGAACGCCAAAAAATACCTCTGCCAGACACTAGTGGAAAGAGGAGGACAGTACGTCATCGAGAAATAGTGTTGCTACTTCTAGTTCTTCGTTGGAGATTAGTTTCATACTTGCGTGTGCCAAAAAATAACAGAAAAAGTACACAAGAAATGCCTTGAGAAGTTATGCATTACGGTCCTTGATTCTGATTGGTTGAGCCGCGTTCAGAGCTGTTGTAAATTACTCTACAAACATACACCTTTGTTTACGTTTGTGTGTTGCTCGGCAACCACTTTGTTGGAACCACAACTGATTCTGAGGAGCTACATTGTTTGGTGGAAGAATACTGTTTTTATTAATATCATTACACTTTATTTGCTCTGTTTTATTCTGTGAAGCCTTACTACCGTATAAGGAATAACCGTTTTATAAAAGCAATAAGCCCTGTGAAGCCGTGGTTTACAGTGAATTTATAACAGCTCCACGAGGGGCGTTGTTAGGTACGACGCGAAGCGGACTGTTTCTGAGGAACTACATTGTTTGGTGGAAGAATACTGTTTTTATTAATATCATTACACTTTATTTGCTCTGTTTTATTCTGTGAAGCCTTACTACCGTATAAGGAATAACCGTTTTATAAAAGCAATAAGCCCTGTGAAGCCGTGGTTTACAGTGAATTTATAACAGCTCCACGTCGTGCCTAACAACGCCCCTTAGCTGTTATAAATTCACTGTAAACCACGGCTTCATGGGGCTTATTGCGTTATTTTACCATGATTTAAGCTGCATTTAAATTGCCGGCTTAATGACCAGATCCAATATTGTGACATCCTTTTTTGTGTGACCTGCCTTTTAAAATATACTTAAAAAGATCGTTCACCCCAAAATTTAAATTTGCTGTTGATTTACTCACCCTCAGGCCATCCAAGATGTAGGTGACTTTTTCTTCAGTAGGGCAGTAAAGACGATTTTTAGCCGAAACCGTGCTCCTTAATGATTTGTGAAATTCAAGTTAGTGGCTGCCCGTTTTTGAGAATAAAAAAGCAAACCAAGGGACACAGAATGAATACAACCAACCTGTCTGTCACCTGACATTTACATGCACATTATATTTAAGCTGATTATTCCGGTTAAGCTTTTATTCCAAACAAAAGATGAAATGCATCTATTCAGAATGTTCCCGTATGTGTGTCATGTTTGTTTTGTTTCTTACTGTTACTCTAGAAATAGCAGAGATGCTCACTCATACAGTTTGTTATAATTAAACCTGGCTATTTAAGTGCAAGGCTTGTGCAATCACCCAAAACACCCTAGAAATCACCTATAAAGCAGCTACCAAAACACCATACCAGCCATGTAGCAATGCCCTAACAACAGCAATATCCTTTTGTCTTCAAGAACACCTTGGCAACCATCATAATGAAGGTCCAGTTTGTCAAATATCAATATAGACTATGTAGAAGACTCACTGCATTAATATTGAATTCAGTTGTTGTGTGGAGGTGTATAGGCTTTTGTACAGCATCTTTGGCATTCTTTGAGCACTGGATTTAGTAATAATTTCAGTATGCCGTAAACTCTTCCAAAATGAGTTTTGATGGAGCTCTGTTTTTTTTTTTTTTGCATAGACTTGAAGAGGAAGAAAAGTTGGTGACTGCTGAGGGTCTCTACAAAAGAGCCATCGTATTAGATAACACATTTCAAGGGGCAGCAGAAGCCCTGGCGAAACTTCAGCTACGCATCCAGGTGAGCTGGATAAACCTGTCTGTCATGAATACATGGTTGGCCACCACTGCAGATTTTCTCAGAATATTAGCTTCCAGTGTTACGGGTAACCAGATACAGTCTTATGTTAAAGGAATAGTTCACCCAAAAATGACACTTTGCTGAAGGTTTACTCCCACCCAGGCTATCTGAGATGGAGATGAGTTTGTTTCTTCATCAGATTTGGAGAAATGCAGCATTACATCACTTGCTCACCAATGGATGTGAATGGGTGCCGTCAGAATGAGAGTCCAAACAGCTGATAAAAACAACACAATAATCCACAAGTAATCCACACCACTCCAGTCCAGCAATTAACAACTTGTGAAGCCAAAAGATGCGTGTTTGTAAGAAACAAATCCATAATAAAGGCCAAATAATACATAACACTTCCTCTAGTGAAAAAGTAATTTCATCTGAATCAGTAAAGAAAAATGCACGGATCAAGCACAGATCTCTTCTCAAGACATTAACTGATGGACTGGAGTGGTGTGGATCACTTGTGGATTATTGTGATGTTTTTATCAGCTGTTTTGACTCTCATTCTGACGGCACCCATTCACATCCATTGGTGAGCAAGTGATGTAATGCTACATTTCTCCGAATATAATGAAGAAACAAACTCATCTACATCTCAGATGGCCTGAGGGTGTGTACATTTTTAGCAAATTTTCATTTTTGGTACACTGATACACTGCATTTTTTCTTTATCAAGACGTTCATTTTAACTGTCGAGTATTGCAGTACTGATGAAGTATTTTTGTCATTTATGTGTCTATCTGATCTTGGACCTGTGAAACCTGACTGATGGGACCTTTAACCCTGATTGCACTGGGTTGACATAAATGCCCCATGTGGAAATGAAACCCCACCACCTTTGGTTTGTATTCTGTTCTGGTACGACGGTAACTGCATCTGACGATCATTGCTAAATATAAAATGTTTTCTCGCATTTTGTCTTTGCTTAACATCCTGGGGTGTGAAAACGGCACTTGTGCGAAATTGCTCGTGCTGGATGCCTGCACGCATGCATGCTTGATTAATTTCCTGAAAATTGTTCCAATTTTACCCTGTCAATGAACTGCTTTAAAGAAATCGCTTGAATTGAAAGAGCAGGAAGCTGCCAAAGAGCAGGAAAAAACTAAGACCGTGGAGACAAGTGCAGAGAAATTGCGTAAGATCCTAAAAGAAGAGAAAAGGTAACGTCATCGCCACCATATTCATTCACGATGTTATTCCTCTTAAGCACATATTTGGTCACATACACACTGCATCTAAATACAGTTGTTCTGTACACACAGTAGGGTCACACCAAGGATGATAAAGTATGGAAGGAATGATGATTTTTGGAATCACTTTTTTTCCAGCTGATAAATGATGTAAACATTGAGAGCCAATCAGAATCCGTCTTATTTTAAAGAGCTTGAGCATTTAAAACGACAGTTGACATAACAGCCGTTAGTTTATAATAAACAGGATGTTGTAGTTATCGTTCTTGGTGTGAACAGGCCTTAACAACGGAATTTACATTAAATCTATATAGTTATGTAATGCATAGCAATGTCAGTTGTTGAAATTCAAGGGGTGACATCTATATCCCGTTAAGCAATCATTTAGGGCATTCAGTCCAACATTTAAATTAGGGCTGGGCAATATACTGAATATTCACAATATATTCACCATGATTATTCTGGTGATATAATGTTAAAGGGCACCAATTACGCCCCTTTTTACAAGATGTCTCCGGTGTCCCCAGAACGTGTCTGTGAAGTTTCAGCTCACAATAACCCTATTATATCATTTTGAAAATGCCTTTTCTGAGTGGAAGCGGAAACACGTTGTTTTACTTGCATGTCTCTTTAAATGCAAATGAGCTGCTGCTCCCCGCCCCTTTTCCAGAATAGGAATGTGCCTTTACGGCTGGTATATCAGACATTCTGCTAAAAACATCTGTTTTGTTCTGTTTATCATGCCTATTGCGCTGAAATCATGCGTTTTAAAGCAATATCAGTTTAAACTTGTGATATACGGTTTTCTGAGCGAACACATCTGAAGCACACGCACAGAAAGCGGCTGTCACACGGCATGGGAGTACTACACTAAGTGCACAAGTGCACTACACTTCTCTTTCATGTCTTATTGCGCTTAAACTGTCAAATACAAAGAAGTTTATAAGTTATAAACACAGTCAGTTACGTCTGTGAAAGTAAACAGCTGGGAAGGAAATCGCATGTTTATATGAGATCTTAAGTGACAGCATTGTAATACAGTACCTATACCGCTGTCTCACTGTTAATGTGAGCCAAACAATAAAATAAAAGCAGAAACTCACTCACTGCTCTGGACTGAATTATGTCTATAGCAGGGGGTCACCAAACTCGGTCCTGGAGGGCCGGTGTCCTGCTGAGTTTAGCTCCAACCCTAATCAAACTCAACTGAACCAGCTACTCAGGGTCTTATTAGGTATACTTGAAACTTCCAGGCAGGTGTGTTGAGGCAAGTTGGAGCTAAACTCTGCAGGACACGGCCCCCCCAGGACCGAGTTTGGTCTATAGCTTTAATAAGAAGACATTTCTTATTTGAATGCTGCTTTTAAATGATCTAGTGTGAAGATAAACATGGCAGATTGCGTGCGGCTCACTCAGGGCGGGGTCTCCGCTAATACAGCAGTGTCTGTCAACAGTTGTGGGCGGGGCTTGTAAAATGTGACATCACATTGTACAGATTCTGCAAACGGCTTGTTCTGAGACACTGCTTATGATTTATGGGGATTAAAAGAAAATGAGCGGGTGGATTTTTATCAATCTAGGGTGGTTGTGAACACACACTGCCAACACACATTTATGATAACCTATAAAAGTGAATTTTGTATAATAGGTGCCCTTTAAAGGGATAGTTTTCCCAAAAATGGAAATGTGGTCACTTTGAAGTTTTTTCAGACCTGTTTGAATCATTTTTTATCAACACTTGATAAAACACTGAGAAAGTTTAATTAAAACATTTTCAACGAAAAGCTGAGAAAATCTAGTTTTTGTCGAAGAGTTCCTCCAGATCGGATTCAGCACATTGATCAAAACAGATGGAGTAGATCGCTTCCATCAACACCCCTAAAGCTTCACAGTCCTAAAGCACTTCCTGGATCGATATTTCATTTGGCAACGTTAGGCAGTTTTGATTTATATGCTGTTTAAAGGGGTCATATGATGCGATTTTACGTTTTTCTTTGTCTTTGGAGTGTTACAAGCTGTTCGTCCATATATAAGATCTATAAAGTTGCAAAGACTAAAGTCTCAAACCCAAAGAGATATTCTTTATAAAAGTTAAGACTCGTCCACGCCCCCCTAAAACGCCTCGTTTAAACACCCCCCCACAAATCTACGTCACTGTGTTGGAAGATTTGCGTAACACCTTTTTTCTCGCTGTAGTATTGTTGTCGTGGAGTCGCTGTGTGTTTCCAAATATGGTGAGGGGCGTAACATTTCAGTCACGCTTGAGGTATTCGGCCAATCACAACGCACTGGATAGCTGGCCAATCACAGCACACCTCGCTTTTCAGACCGATGAGCTTTGTAAAAATCTACGTGTTTCAGAAAGGCGGGGCATAGAGGAGAAACAATAATGTACAGTATTTTTAACCTTAAACCGCATAAACACATTTCATTACACCAAATACACCAAATAATGTTATTTTATTATCGTCATATGACCCCTTTGCGTTGTTTTCAAATGCATCTGCTTACATACGATCACTTATTTCTGCTGCTGCTTCACCGTGTCTTGATCCGGAGATTCAGTACTCGTTCAGAAGATGTGTAATAGCGCCTCCTACCATATGGTAGTGAAGACACAGAAAGACGGAAAATAGGTTGTTTGCAATCACGTGATTCTGATGACGCGCGCAATGCAGCTGGAGGGCAGGAAGTGATTTTTCTCTCCATAGAAATCACTAGCAGAAACTCAAAATGCCAGTGTTTTGCGTTGTTTATGGATGCTCAAATCGGACAAACCGAGAAACCACAAGGAGCTTTTATCGTGTAAGAAAATGTGTTGTTCATAAGGGGGGAAAACAACGCAAAACACTGGCATTTTGAGTTTCTGCTAGTGATTCATATGGAGAGAAAAATCTTCCTGCCCTCCAGCTGCATTGCGCGCGTCATCAGTGACGTCATGTGCATACAACCTATTCTTTCAATGGCAGGGAAAGAGTTAAACTATATCGCCTAGCCCTGATTTAAAAATGGTTTGTCAGTGCCAAAACTTTGCATTGTGTATGTGACCATTGAAAATTACTTCCATCAAAAAAGGTAAGAACTCTTCTATTTTACGGTTTTAATCATTGCTGACGCCCCATTTTCTGACGGGGCTAACAATGTCTTGCAAGTCTCAGCGTGATGTTTGCTTTCATGTAGAATGAAGAAGAAAAGGAAGCGGTCGACCTCTTCCTCTACATCCTCCGATACGTCTTCAACTTCAAGCGACGACTCTTCTTCAACGAGTCGTAAAAAGTCGAAGAAACGCAAACACAAGCGCCGGCGCTCATCTCACGGCAGTAAGAAACACAAGCGGAGAGCGTCGTCTTGTAGCGATAAAACGGCAGATGATGACATAGAGTGGTTTCCCGCTCCTGCCAACACCTCCGCTTCCTACATCGACCAGAAACAATCCATAAGCAAACTCATCAGCGAAGGAGAACAGTCTTGGGAAAAAAGCCGATGTGAAGATGGCAGAGGTAGGTTAGATGATGCTATTGACAGAAGTCTGGAGAACCTCAAACATGGAGCCCAGTCTGAAGCGTCTAGACCGGGACGTCCCGATGTGAACGGCGAGGTTAGAGATCAACACAGGACTCAGAGCATCTCTGAATGTGCCAGAAACAGGAGGGATTCATCCTCCTCAACCCAGTCCGAATATTCCCAAAAATCTGACCGCTACTCTAAGGAATTTTCTTCGCAAGGCAGAAAACGTATTGAATCAGAACGAGGCGGGAATGAGAAGATGGATAGAGGAGAGAGAAATAGTCGTGATCAAGATGATGGCAGGAAATCTTCTGGTGGATCCCTGAAAAAAGATATCCCTTCCAATTTGTTGGACATTTTTAGTCAAATTGCTGAATTTGAGAATGAAAAAAAGCTGAAAAAATAAAGTAGTTGCTCTTTAGGACTGTCAGGAGTAACACTAGTCATGCTTTCAATACTGGAACTAGCAGGTTTAACCCTCAAGTATAGTAATTGAAATATTTGATAGTTTACGAAAAGTTGTTCAGAAAGGTTTATTTTCATAATTTCAGGTTAGATTGTTTTTTTTGTTTTTTGCTTTGGGGGGAAGCAGCCTGTCTCTAAAAAAAACTGCTACAAAACTGAGCAGTGGCCAAAATGTGTGATGCAAATGATGCCTCAGTATTATACATTGCATTCAGTATAATGTCAGTGTTCAAATAAACAAATGTAATGGTCAAAAAAGTGCTATCGTGTAGTGTTTGCTCTTGTCTGTTGAAACAGTTTTTTTTTTTTTAATTCCTATGGGATGCAAAGTGGTCTTCCAGCAGGGGTTTAAAGCCAGTCATCAGCTAAGCCACATTAAAGGTTTAGGACTTTGCACACTAAAATATAATGCAAACTTTGAGAAATATCAAGTTGCATTTGACAGTTAACTTAGTGTGTCAACTTAAGGTTAATTTTAATGCTCTTTGATATTATAATGAATTATTAAAATCTTAAGACAATTTGCTTTAAATAACATAATTGGATTTATTCAAATCCATCCATGCATGCATTTTTTTTTTTTTTTTGCAATATACTCATTATAACATACCAATTTAAACAATATTCAAAAGATGTTTTTTTTTTTTTCTGAAAAAAAAAAAACATTGGAATATTTCTTAATAAATTGGCCATTTTTCATGCACGTAAATCTGAAGCTGAAGGAATGTAAAATTCATCCCTTGTTAACTAAGTTGTGTTATAGTGAATAAAAAAAGCAAACTTTGTTTAAACTATTGTTTTCAATATTTTATTACATTATTTTAAGACATATGAGGACATAAAAACCTTATTGCTACCTGGGTTAAAACTATTTAAGAAATAGTTTAAAGAAAGTACTATGAATATTCACTTGATATAGACCTATTTATTGGATTATTGTTTTAGTTAGATATTGCCACTGTACATATGAAATATTAATTCAAAATGTCACACTTTTTCAGATTCAGTGTGTAGTCCATCAGAGGGCAGTGTAACACTGGACATCCTCTGTAATGGGCTTTGATGTCCTTTTGCCCTCTCATAATATTGTAATAACACAGCCTTACATTAACTGAAGTACAGTCCATTAAAGTCAAATGCAACACACACATATTTTCAATGAAGCAAAAAACTAACAAAAAACAATGAAATAAGACCGTTAACAAATTCAATAGGTTTGATTTCATTGATTGACTTACAGGAGAGTTACTGCTGCTTAATCAAGTAGAACAGGGGTTTTGACTTTTCAATACCAAGGACCCCCGAAAATGTGATGATCCCCTTGTAAGAAACCTTCCTAAAATATATTGTACACTGTAAAAAATGATTGTGATTTTAACAGTAAAATACTGTAAAAATGCCACCGTAAAAAATGGTTAATTGGCTAACAGTAAGTTTCCATATTATATACGGTGAATAAATGTAATTATATTTAATGTAATTTTACAGTAAAATACTGTTACAATTACAGTTTTTGGAAGTGAAAACGAAAAAGTAATTCTATAATTTACAGTGACAAACCGTAAATTGACACTCCCAGAATTCCCTGCATGACAATTCATATTTGATGTTTTTTTTAAATAACCGTTTCTTCTTAGTTTTTTTCTTATCAGTTGTGTACATTAGGGTTTAATCTTACATCTAATGTTGTTAAATGAATGTTTATTGCATTATTTCAGTATCATGTGTGTCACCATGATGGGGTTTAGTGTTTGTGTGAATGACTCTGTGCAATTTCTATATACAAGTATTGCCCTCGGCTCGTAGAAAAGCTGTTTGTGATGAGCTTTGGTTCATCATGTGACTTTCTCATCACCACCAGTTTTTGGTGGTTATCAGTTAAACAGGCAGACAGATATTAGTGCTTCAATATGTTGGTTCATTAACATTACATCAGTTAATGAAATACGTTATTTTATTGTGAATATAAGTTCAGTCTGTAAAACCTAAAATGTTGCTACCGTATTTTTTACGGTGAAGTTCTGGCAACCACAGCTGCCGGTATTTTACCGTAAATGTCAGATTTGTTTTTTTACAGTGTAGATATTATGAAGGCATGCTGTTTGCAACTTGAAATAATTGGCTTTAATATTTTCCTTTTACAGCCTAAGTATTTCAAATATTATCTGGAAAATATGAATATAAATAAATATTAATATTTTGGTAAATATGGTACGATATTATCCTGTATGAATCAATGTGATAAACGAGTTACGTCAAAAGTAATCTAGTTTGATTATATTGCCTAAAACGTGTAGTGTAATGGATTACGTTACTAATGACAACAGACTGCAATTTGTAAGTACTCTACCCGGCACTGGCAGGTAGCTGAACTTTAGAATATGTAATTGTATAATTTTGTTGTCTTTGAAATATGGTTAAGTGTACAGCTGAATGTACTGGCAAGCAAACATAAGTTTGTAGGGCCACTCAATTTTTTTTTTCAAGTATACACAATATATAATGAATAAAAGCTCATATATACCTGTATAGCAGAAGAAGTGGGCACTGAAGGTCCACTAGTCCTTGAGTAAGTCGTAATAATGGCTGTGGGCTTAGGACAGACATGACTGCGTTTGATGAAATGGCAGATTTTCCATCCAGGATTTACCCATCATCCCTCTGTGCCACTCAGTGATGGGGAAACTGGACGGGCCCTTTCAGAGGAGAAATTTGGTTTGTATGAAGCTATTCTCTGAAGGGATAATCGGACTGAGGAACATGCTGACTATGAAGAGGCTTTCAATTCAAGCTGAAACAGGAAAAAGACGACATCTGGTTAAACTAAAGGAAGCACTACTGAGTTCTTGGAGCATGACTTTATGCTCGAAAGGAAAATGAACATGAAGTCTTACCAGTGCCTTAAGTTTTTGATTAATTAGAACGTAAAGGCCCTTTAAACTTCTTGGACAAAGGAACACATTAGATATAATAGCAAGAAAGAATAACTCTTCCAGCTGTAGAGAACCAAATCTCATGGCCCATCCGTACGTCCCTCGTGGGTTTATATTTTTGTTTCATCAAAGAAAATGTGGCTGTGATCATAGTCCGTATCTCATATTCTAGCAATGTGATCACATTCGCAAAATGTAGGCCAAATTTGGCGGGAAAAAAAAGGTCAATTTCCCGTTGTTAATAGTGTAGAGATGTAGCATGGCTCGCATAATCACTTTCAAACCAAGCAGTTTTTCTGCAAATTCGCGTGACCATCGTCACGTGAACATGAGCGAAATCTGTGTGGGCAAGTTTTTCCGCACTCGTGCTAAATGTGCAATTGCACAGATTCCTATCGAAAATGAATTCCCGCGAAATTTCAGAGAGCAAGCGGTAACCGCACGTTAAAGTCGTATTTACAGTAATGTTCTGGGTTCAATACAAGTGCAAGTTAAGCTCAATAGACAGTATCTGTGAAAATGACAACAAAATGACTTCTTCAGATTGCAAAATCGAGTAAACCACATGTACAGTACTTACGATGTAAGTCTGAGGCGAGGCAATATGGCGGGATAAATGCTAAATACCAAACATAAACATTAAACTATACCATGAAACTAATTCTGTAGTTTTCACCACATCTCAAACGATGCAGGCCTATTGTGGTTAATAGAATTATGTGGTGGTGAAAATTTTTGATGGTCTTCGTTTGAAATGAAATGGCGAGTTTTGTCTTCATAAAGCTAATGCTGCTAGCATTTCATGTATCAAAAGTACACGCAATTACACAATATTTTCACATTTTCTTGCATAAATAGAGCATTTGAAAAGTAGCAAAAATGAACAATAAAAGTGGGAAAAAAAAGATCTGTTTACATCTACATTCTTTTGACTTCAAACGTTCTTTTTAACAATATCAGGTACATTCAGTTTAGTCTGGCAGTTTTTTTGGGGTTTGTTTTCAATCAGATCAAGAAAAAAAAAATCACATTCGCAGGACGAATAGCATATACTTATAGCATACTTCATAGCATCTATTGCATACTTTCTTGCTCAAATGTTTTTCTTCTTATCAGCAAAACACTATTTTACTCGGCACGTTCAAAAGCACATTCAAACATTTTAGTTTAAACTACTTTCCAAAAAAAGCATCCAATCAAACTGAAGAAAAAATGATAGTAAGCAAATGCACTTGCAACAAATCACTATGCAAATGAGCGGATATTGTGCCGTCCCCAACGCACGGCGTCTCCAGGCTTGTTGTTGTGGCAATAACTGATGATGCATCACGATTAGCGCCAAACACGCTTTTCTGAGCAATGACATTTTGTACCGCGCCGTCCCGTGTATTCAAACGCATTAGAAAAGCCTGTGAATTGCATTACACTCGTACCCTAGAAAAGATTTGGGTTAATTTGGCAAACACAGAGTCTCTGAGTCTACAACAGCGCTATAGAAATACTCGGACACGAGGATGGAAATTTCAAGAGAGCAGAATTTCTGAGACAGGAAGGAGAAAAAAGTGCTGACTCCGGTTGCTGGAACCGGCCTTGGCTAAATCCAAAGTGCCAAGCGCTTGCAATTTTCTACCACCCCAACCTAATTCTCCAAGCTTCTTATTACAGCACAGATTCGTTTGCTCTGAGTTAAAGCGACATCAGGATTCACATCTGATGAAATGCAGGACGTCCTTTGTATCATTAGTCGCACACCGCCTTCAAAAGACGTGCAAATTTGAACCTCGACCAGCAGAAACATTCCTATTACATTATGCATTATCGCATCTGTGTCAACATTAAAACTGTGCCATCTAAAAACTTGTTTTTATATCTTAGAAAAGCCTGTGAATTGCATTACACTCGTACCCTAGAAAAGATTTGGGTTAATTTGGCAAACACAGAGTCTCTGAGTCTACAACAGCGCTATAGAAATACTCGGACACGAGGATGGAAATTTCAAGAGAGCAGAATTTCTGAGACAGGAAGGAGAAAAAAGTGCTGACTCCGGTTGCTGGAACCGGCCTTGGCTAAATCCAGTGAAGAGATATGAACACTTTCTAATTTGCTTGCCCCCTATTTTAATAATAGCTGTGCATAAGTAATTTATGAACGGCCAGCCAGCACTGGGCATGGGAAAATTAAACTCATTTTATCGTAAAGCAGGTGGATTTCTATTTATCATTAGCATTCATACAATTTTCACAATGTTATTCCTCATACTGATGGAATGTAACCAAATAATGTATGAAGGTTTTTTTTTTTGGCTTGTGCACAAGTGAAAGTCAA